GAGTCTAACCTGGTGCTGTGTCAGGACGTCGAGACCGTCCGTGTACTCCTTGTACTTGCGCCACGTATTCCCTCTAACTAACTGTGCTTCCGTCCAGATATACAGAGCTATAGGGAGTGTATCATGTCCGTTCCATCGCTGCATTGAACACGATAATGAATTAGCAACAAATAATCTCATCATATCTCACTGCCTAGAAGAATATAATGAACCGAAGTACTTATCGGTAAACCATTATTAAGGGGCCTCCCAACGGGCAATCGTTCCCAACACCAAACTTGGAGTAGGTACAAGCAACCCCCAAGGTTCGCATGTCCTGAGGTGCGACGATAGGCAACGCATAGCTGTCGATACGTCCATGCCAGGACTGCGCTGCCCCAATTGTACCCCGCTATGTTCTCCCATGGCTGGTGAAGTATGTCAAGGAAGATCTAGTTGATGGTGTTGTCCGAGGCGTCTGGGAAGAGGAAAGCACCAAGAAAGTGCTAGAGCCACACTCGAGCGAACCTGTCGATCTGAGCCTCCTCAGCTTGTGGGTCCAAGTAATCAAAGCGCTTTGTGATCCAGGACGACGAAACACCAGAAGTTTCCTGTAATTGATCAAAGAAAATGAGACCCGATGCTAGCTGTAAAGCAATGCAAGTATTAAATAGGCTTGAAATTACTTACTTATTTTTCTTGGAAGCATCGTCGTCCGGTGGAAGAAAGCCAGTAAACTGAGCCACCAGCTCCCTCCAATGATCGTTGTCAACTATCCCTGTCACTGGAAGTCCCCCAACCGAAGACCTAAAATAGCCTTTATGTCTTGCAACATCATGGTCATCTCACCACAAGGTAGGTGGAACGTGTGGGTCTCAGGCCTCCACCTGTTATAAGAATAGAACGACTATTAGTTGCCTCAAATTTATTACAAGAAAATTTACGTACAAATAATGCACTCGCACCTATCTACAGCTGCAGTAAGTAGTGCTAGGTCAAGGGGCGGAAGATCATGGTTCACAACACGGACAAGCTCGAGAAAGTCAGCACGCCATATGTACGGCGTATAACGCTCGTCCCACTGATGCACCTTGGTGTGTGTGCGGGGCCTCAAAGGAGGCAAGGACACCTCTGCGTCGTTGTCACTTAAGATATGTGCTCGGTGCTGGTCGTCGTACTCCACCCCAAAAATGGGGTACAATGGGTGCTATGCGGGAGGGGTCATCCTTTTACAAATTGATAAACAAAACGTTAGAGTATTCAAATTAACAAAATTCAAGTTAACATTAGTAAGTTCACAAACAAATCACAAACAAATTCACTAACCTAACTAGCCTAAATCCCTAAACCCAAAATCCTAAGTATACTAGATAATAAATACATAATCAATCCATATAAAACTTTGGTTCCAAAATTACAAGTAATCCCTCCGTCTCAAAATAAATACACATCTTACTTCTCAAGTAGTCAAATATGTTTAAGTTTGATCAAAACTAAAAAAACGGTATCAATATTTGTATCTCCTAATAAGTTTATTACGAAAGTATACTTCATGCTTAATGTAATAGTACCTATTACGAAAGGTACTTTCTCCGTCACATAACAATAGTCGTTCTAAGATATCGCAAAGACACTAATACTCAATGAAAATAGCATCGATGCCCCTAGATGCTCCTAGAAAAAGAAATGAAAATAGTTGTTCTAAGATTTCATCAACTCTTTTGCTTCTACGCCGGCCGCTCGAGGATTGCGAGGGCACGTGGGGTACCTTAGGAATACAAAAAATACTAACTATACTACATAATAATAATAATAAAAATATGAAATCGAGACGGAGGTACCTTAGGAGCGGGCGGCCTTGACGTCGACGTTCATGGCATTAATGGCTAGCTAGCACCTTCTGGGGAGCTGGCTGGGGGCGGGGGGCCAGGGCGGGGCGAGGCGAGGCGCGAGCGTCTTGGCGCTCGGCCCAGCGGCCAATGGCGTTCGCGCGAGGGCGGCGGGCGGCGGCGGGCGGCGGAGTGGCGGGGGCGGGCAGACGCAGAGAGATATATATATAGTCATCTGCCACGCCCACGGATCGAGTAGCCATCACTGTGCCTCGCCAAAGGTCTGTGGCGCGTCGAGCGAGCCACGCCACGCGTCCCCCCAAGCCGGCCCTCGCCACGTCAGTTTCTACTCGCCGCCAAGCCACCATGCATGGCGCGCGAGATGCATTTGACACGTCAGGCAATAGGCGTGCGCCAAAGTGTTAGTTTTTTTAAAAAATCGACAGTGTTAGATTTAAAATTATATTAAAAAAGGTTAAAATTAAAAAAAAATCGTGACGGAAGCGAGTGCGAATGCTGGGCATTCGAACTCGCGCCGGCTGCAAGCCCACCGGCTGTGCTAGCCATCCGAGCGTTGCTCGGTTCTCAACCGTCAGCTGAGTTGCGCTGCCCCGTGACGACGCACTAGTGCCGTGAGCTCGCGTTGTGCGGGTCGCTGGGCGGGCCCCTGGGCCCCGGCCCCCGTCGGTTTTTCCACCTCCCGCGTCGAACTTTCTTTTCCTTAGCTCTGCTCGACAGACGCCTGCCTCAGCATCAGTGCGCTGCAGGCCGGGGAGACTGGAGAGCGGAAGCTTGCAAGATGGAACCAAGCAGATTTTTTACTCATAATTAAGTTTGTATTTGAGTTCCATAGCGGAAATGTTCTTGTGTTAGCGTCAGCAAAACATCAGGAGATCGACGTTCACCGCTTCTTCAGATGCATCACCTTAACATCAGCAAAACTAACGGAGCAGTACGCATCGTTGTGTTATTAGCAAGATTAAAAAAAAAAAGTTTTGTGTTCAGTGGAAGTTGTAGTAACTGACGGCAATTAATGGAAACTAGTCTTGTCCTTCTCGGTCATGTGTCATGAGCTAATTGTTCCATGAATCAATTTTTACTATTGGCTCGTTAAATTGATTCAGGGCACGTTGAAATGATCGAGGAAGGTCTGACCCTACATGCCAAAAATCTCTCTCAATCCCCTTTGATCCTCTCCAATCCATTCGGATCGAGGATAAAACGAACAAAATCATCAATGGGATTAGTGGTCAATAATTTCTGAACCGTACCGGTTCTTGCCTTTAACAAAATATAATGATAGCACTTCCACGAAAATGAATGAACCAACTAGTCATCAATTTTCGTCCCCACTTGAAAGCAGAAGAGATAACGACCGAAGGTTGGATTGGGTTCACAAACCTTCGGTGACACACGGATGACAGATGCAATATTGAGCCCCACTTGGATTGGGATGAGACGAACAAACCATGCCGGGGATCCAGGATCTGAACTCTATAGAGGCCATGCCCACGGATAGCATTGTATATTTGTCTTGTTTGGCACGGCTCCGACTCTTTTCTATATGTGTAGAAACTGAAGCCGATGAAAAAATAATGATTTTATCGACTACTAATTTATTTTGAGAGGATAGATAAATGACTCCTTAGAGAGTACTTCATACGTCCTACAAAGAATATAATTCCCGATTTTCAAGGAGTCAAAGGATGTGGACTTTGACTAAATAAATTTATATAAAAACATTAACATTTATTATACAAAATAAGTATCATTAAATTAATTATAAAATATATTTTATAATAAATTTATTTAGAGACATAAATACTGATACTATTTATTATAAATTTAGGAGCAAGTTTGATTGACATGAATTCTAGACCGATGGGACAGAGAGAGTACATTAAAGAGGACTAAGCTGGAGCGGTCGGGATTCTACCAAAGGCTCGTTCGGTTACGGTGGAACGAGCCTATAAATTATTTCAACAGATGATGCTTATAGAAACTTAGCTAGCATTCTAGCTTGGATTTTTTTTCCAGATAGTCACGCAGGGGAAACAAATGAGGCCCAAATGGGATCGCACTCGGATTACTACATATCATGCCGCATTCAACCAATCGAGGGCTGTAAGGAATGGTTGAGCTTCCGATCACGTTTTTCCTTCACCCATCGACACCGATATGAGATTTCGGTTGGGCACCAACCACCAACCAATCCGTCAGCTCGACTCGACACAGGTCCCGCGTGGTCTCTCCCCTGGTTTTCCTTCTCCACCTCCCTCGTGGAACGCTCGTTTGCTTCGCCCCCCAGAGTCCGGAAGCGTCGCGGCGCGCCGCCGGCGAAGAGGAAGCTTCCACTCCCTGCTGGAGTGCTGGATTCTCCCGCTCGTACGGAGCGCTCTCGAGGCTGGCAGTGAACTGCCGTGGACAGGGGAGACGGCGCAGACCGACAGGAAACCGAAATCAGTGGGCGCCGGCCGTGCCGGCCGAAATGCATGGCGCGGGCCGCGGGGAGGGAAGCTGGCTTTGCCGCGGCGGGCTCACACGGATCAAGGGCGGCCTGCGCCTCCCAATTGGGCCTCGCTGGGCTGGGGCTGCGCCCGCGGCCTGGCCCCCTGCTTCCCTTGCCGCCTTGCGGACTGCGGCGTGCCATGTTCGTGGCCGGCAACGTAACAGTCACACAGAGAGCGAGACCACCCGATGACTGATGCAGGCTGCTAGGCTGACACAGAATCTGCACCACTCAAATGAGTTTCGCCAATCACAGATGGCGCAAGGAAAGCATCGGCCCCGTTGGCTTCGCTGAAAAAACGAGCCGAAACACTGTTCCGGCTGATTTGTCGTGAGAGAAAAATACTGTTCCGACTGAAAAAACAAGTTGAAAAAGTACATATTATAGAAGAAGCTGAAAAGTTACATGAAACAGGTGCCAGTTTGGCAGTTTCGCTCTACTCAACACAACCGCAAGTCCAGCTTAGGTCACCAAAGAACCAGCATTCCGCACCTGCATCACCTCCACTCTAAGTCCAGACCCAACGACGCGTCCCAGGTACAGAGCGACCGCCAATTCGGACACACCTAGTTTAGTTACAGTTACAGTTGCAGAGACACCCCGAGTTCAGTTCAGTTTAGACAAGAGCCAGAGTCGAATCGCTGATAAGCCAAGGATGAGTTGCCAGTTGGGGGGCTGGCTCCCTACGCACCGCCGCCCCCTCTTGCGTGATAGTGGTGGCGATCGCCGGGCGGCAAGCTGTGCTCGTGCTTCGTGAACAGGCCGCCGTTCGCGGGCACGCGCTGCGCGTCCGAGGAGCCATCGCCGCTGCCGCTGCCGGGTGACTCCGGCTGCTGCTTCGTGTTCAGGAACCGCCCGCCTGTTCCCCGAGCTCTCTTCATCGCGTGCAGATGCCGAGACTCGTGGAGGTACGGCTGCGCAAACAGAATGTTATTTTTCCGAGTGTACTTCTGAAGTTCTGTTTATGCTGGGAAAGAAGTCACTACTCACTAGTAGAGATGAATGAATCTGATACTGAGTCCAATGGCAACAGTGCCATTTTTTTTTGAAAAGGAACTCTTAATGACAATAAAAATTCGTACAAAGCCATCAAGTGCGGCAAGAGAGTACCTTGCGACTTTTGACAAGCTTGTTTTCAGCCTCTAGCTTTGCACGGAGCTGTCTCCTTCGGAGAATCGCGTGGTATTGCTTCGCGTTGACATAGATGGGCTCTTCGGCAGCCGGCTCAATTGGTAATGGCACTCGAGAGGACGAAACCATGCCCACCAGCTGACGGTGCATCTGCTTGATTGTTTATAAGACAAAATATGAGACTATAATTCTAACTATCAATGGCAACACATACGTACTGGACCTAGCAAAAACACTGTAACCAGGAGAATAACGATGGCGGTACATATGCAGGTGTGAAACCGATAAATAAAAATGGCTGCACGAATGCTTCAGTAACATAGTAAAATCTGACAAGATGAATTCAAGGGTAAATCAATTGCAATGCTGCTGGGTGCTGTCTCAATAGATAAGCATGTGAGCCAATTGAGAATGCCCAACGCACGCACGCACAGAAAAACAGACCTAAAAAAGTACCAGTACTGAACAGCATTGTCTAGCAAAGTGTCCATAGTGGATAAAGGACATCTAGCACCAGCAACAGAAAGGAGAAAGTAATGAAGGAACAGGCTGGACGCATAAATATTGCTTACAATAGCAGGTGAGCCATAAGCTGCCACTGCACCACCATAGTATGGATCAGCATATGGGTATGATATGGCCTGAAAAGGTGCATAATGCGTAATTCACATGACTGCCCATTGGAGAACAAGTAAACAATTGGAACGAAAAAAACAGTAGAGACTAAAGGCTGCAAGCATTGAAACTTACAAAGGACTGAGTACGGTCAGGCTTTGGATGTGCATAAGCTGTTTCTGGATTGCCCAGGGATAAGGCTGACATCATCTTGTTTTCATCACTCTTTGAGTAACGATCAAGATTATCTAGTATTAGTGCAAGGAGAAAATAGTGTCACATAACTATGATTGTACATATGCATACAAGGTTTGAAACTAACAAAATCCTCTCTTCTTTTTTTCCTTGTTTATTACCCCTCTAGATATGCTATGATATGAATACAGTAAAAATGGATATGGGGGCAAACCTGAATGATCATTATGCTCATTGAGGCTTCCTTCGTTCATTCCAGACACTTGTTGATGGCTTTCACTGGTTGATTGGGAAGCTGGGGAGTCGTAATCAGGCATTTGACGACCAAATTGAAACATTACCGTGCCATTCTCTGCACAAGGATACAAGAGGTGTTACAGAATTGTAGCTGCATGAAACTAAACTACTAAGGAAATACTAAAAAGGGACACACTACTCGTGAAAAAACAAATTGAGCAATATCTTGGAGATTATCCTTACGTCTCATCGCATGGAAATTCTTTATTCTTGTTTTTCAGTTCATACTGTCCAAATATAAACACAGGTCAGTTCCCAAAAATAAACATGTGAGATTCGAAACAAATACGGTCTGCCTTAAGGAGCAGCTGATGCATGAAAACACAACAGAATCGACCTTTCCACCATATTCATGAAAAAGGAAAGCTATTAGGCGTAGGGATGAAAACGGACGGAAATGGGCGGAAAAACTCCTCTCCCATTTCCGTTTCTATATTTTTAGTGGAAACGGGATCGGGTTCATGAAAAAAATGGATGGAGATATATAGAAATACAGAAACAGACAAATATGGACAGAGAGCCAGAAAAAAAGTTAGAATAACATGATCAAATATTCTTGAGTATTACATGAACAAAGTCACAAAATAATATACACGTACGAAATTATCAATCCAATATTCACTAGGATACCATGTGTTAACATGTTAACATACATAATTTGTGATGAGTAGATTTATGAACATATCAATTTCTAGACATATCTGACGTAGATTGAATACGGGATAAAAAACAGAATATATATGGATCAATTCGGGATAAAAACGGGATCTCGTGGAAACGGATGGAAAACCCCTTTCCTGTTTCCGTAACGGAAACGGGAAGAAAGTAGAAAACGGAACGGGTCGGAACGAGATTTTTCCGTCCGTTTTCAACCTTAATTAGGCCCTTAAATTGATCATGGGAGATGTGTAACTTGGGCATGCACATGCTCTAAGGAAGTAAGCTAGCTAGTACTAGCGCTGTATCAGTACCATGCATCAACTCGGTAGCTCCCTCTGAATTTTTGTTCTTCATGAAACCGAAGTATGTGATGAGGGCCTCGGACATGACAGTTAGTTCTGCCAATAGGCCGCCGCTAGCGGAACAGTGCTGCATCTTAATGTCAGTAGGTCACTAGTTCTTCCCACTCCCCACCTCCAGTTTCTTTACAAAGTTACAATTCTAAGATAAATTGTTTTCGTGAAATTAGTCGTGATCCATTACTAACCTGCATGCAAACCTCTGCTACGTGAATTTTACTTAAATCCAGCAAAATTGCAGAGTTGCAAGCTCCTAGCCCATATTACCTTCTTTTTTCCCCCCAACCACGAACAAACCAAAGAGAACTGGCACCCTTGAATTGATAATGCTTACACAGGCAGGAACACAAATAACAAAAGGTTAACCAACACAAATCCGGCATATATAGAGTGTGCTGTAAGGCCTTAGCACAGAGCACATGCTGGAGCCATCACCGTATCAACTCGAAAACCAGCCGACCAACCAAGAAACTAGTCAGATCCACCGCAAATCGGCCAGAAGAGCCAAGAAACGATCCCAAAAAGAAAAGAAACAAAAAAACCAGCTCGGCTGGGAGCAGAGCTCCGGCCACACCGCGGGGAGTAGATAGACCACAGATCAGAGAGGGCTGGAGAGAGGCAAGTCAGCGAGGAAGGAAGACCTGTGAGATGAGGAGGGAGCATGTTCCCCTTCCGGCAGCCCGCCGCCCTTGCTGCCTCTTTCCCACCTTGCTTGCTTCGCTCCTCTGCAAGGTCTCCTCCCTCCCCCTCCTCCCCTCTCTTGCACTCGCAAACAGAGGCCTTCCAGTCTGCAGCAGCCTTGCTTGGCTTTTCTGTTGAGCTGTGCTGTCGGTCCTTATCTCTCCTCCCCCCGCCTGCTCACCAACTACTTTAGTCTAATGACATTCCATAATGAATAAAGCAGGTGGGTGTTGTTACTTGTTAAAAGAGGTCAGAGGGGTACATACTACTGTAGTATAGTACTTATATGTGACAAGAAAAAGAAACATGTCTGCATAGCTTTGAGTAAGTTGTCGTACAGGCAGTTCTTGATGAATCACGTTCACGAGCACATCACTCGCTTTTAACATAGGCACGGGAAAGCCACAGAGCCGGGTTAGCGTGCTGCTACGCTTGAAACGTAACTTACCGTGTGAATAGGAACCGGGACTTTTCATTCCAAATGGCTTTCCTGATTCCTACTCCATCAGACATCACCAACGAAAGATCAACTAAACTGACACAAACTCTTTTTAAATCTTGAAAGATACAGGGTAGATGTTGATTGGAAGACTTGCATTGACAGGGTAAATACAGTAATTCCATGAGGGCTGGTAAATTAAGCCCAACTCGGAGAGACTTTGAATTTTCTCCGCGCAATATTTTACTCTCTACTGGCTCTGCAGTGATCTTCGTCCTGTTTGTTTAGATTTGTTTGGCTGATAAATCATGACTAAAAGTACTGTTGATTGATTTTATACGAGAAAAAAATATTATTCATTAGCTGATAAGCTATAGCTTGTAAGCCAAATACGAGTATACTACCCAGCGCACATGCTGCTTTTCTTTTCGCTTGCTTGCCGTCGCATTCGCATCGCGTTGCGCAATATTTTACTCTCTACTGGCTCTACTGGCTCTCCGCGCAATATTTCGCTTGCTTACCTGTCCTGCTGGCTGCTCTGCACTGAAGTAGTCGTTGTTGTCGCCATCCGCCCCTTAAAAAAACATACTATGCCTCTGTAGCTTTCAGATCAGTAGCCGGGGGGCACCATCGTCATCGCGGCATGTCGCGCAGGCGCCACTTGTGGCAACGCGTGGTGACTCATCCGATGCTGCGCTGCCTTTTTCTCCCTTTTTTTCACTCTTCAGCGTTCACCATGTTTCGCTTATTAGTTTCAGCTAGCACAAACCAACTAGCCAACAATATTTTTCTTCCACAACAAACCAGTACCAGTCAGTCCAAATCAGCCCAGAAACTAACCAGCGAACAAGCCGATTGTTTGCTTGCTTGCATGGCCTGATTGATGGGCCCATCTCCAAAGTTTTTTGCACAAATAAAAACCTTTTTTGTGTGTCTGCCTCGTATCGACACGCTATTTTTCACAGGAAATTTGTGACTATTTCAATTTTTGTAATACTAGGTCTACAAGGGCCCCCAAAGAGAGCAAGTGCCATTAGAGTGGTTCAGTCAGAATCGGTGACACAAGATTCCTAGCTAGCCAAGCTTTGGACATGTACGTCATCGCCCTTCTGTCATTGTTTAATGTAGTTAAAGATTCGTCACAGTATGTATTTTCAAATGAGCGTTGATAAGATATTCTGCAATTATTTTCAGTTGTAAACATAGTGGGGATCATGACGTGTACCATGTTGTACATCAACTTCGCACCAAAAATATCCGCACTACTTTGCTAGCTATAGAAAATATACATAAACGAGATTCGTTTAGGCATGGCTTCTGTGATAAACTCGAGGCATGAAACAAGTATATGTTTTCCACTAAAAGATGTGGATATTTTATTGAACTATAGCTAGCTAACACTCCGATGAGTATCTCTGGGATGTATGGAATGACAAAAGACATAACTCAAAATATGAATATGTAGGCCAACAATTGTTATTCATTTCAGACAAAAGGTGTGGCCCTGATCGCTTGAACTACTCCAGCAGTAGTACTTTTCAGCGAACGAACAGTGTTTTCCTCTCACAACAAATCAACATAAGCACCAGCATAGCTCAAAATGAATACACAGCACTGTACCAACTAATCTGTGTAGTTACGTTGCAGCTGCTGCTCCATCAGCTGCGGCTTCAAGCGAGCAGGGGCGCTGCATCAAGAAAAAAATGTTTGAGAAAGAATGAGTTTCTATAATTATTAGCTTAAGAGATAATATACCAATAATGCACCAAGTCAACTGGCCGGGCTTCATGCGGTTCGGATAAGCACATCATTCATTGTATGATTAAGTCGTAATCACGCATTATAAGTTTAACCACGACTGGGGATACCAAAGCACACGCGATGCCACGGCATTAGCTAGCTACACAAAAGCAACGGGCTTTTGAACTTTCAAAGCCTATTGCTTTGGGCCAATTAGAACATTCTAGAAGGTGTTTCCTATATATAATTGCAAAGGCTAGCTCGGTGCATGGCTCTCTTGAGACCCTTATGCACTAATTGTACCATCAACCATAGCTAGTAGTGCTATGTTGCATTGGATTAGGTATTTTATGGGTACGACAAAATGTAATGATCCCCTCAATCCCCTACCTTTACGCTAGACACTAAACTCCAACGGCTAATCTTATCCATGTTCTCAACTGACAACCTAACAGTAGTATATTTAATTTGGCGTGTGTTGGTAATGCTAATCTACTCGTAAATTGTACCGGCGCCACGTGATTAAGCTTAGCGAAAAAGATGGTGGCAAAGAAGTGGAATGCACAAGATAAAGAGGATGCAAGAAAAGAGAGCAAAAATGTTTCCGGGTATGTTAGTAGATCAGAGATCTATCAACACATCGATCGGCAAAGTCAAAGGATGATCGCACATCGATCGGATGAGATTGGAGATGTTAGAAATTTCAAATTAAACCCTTCGTGTTCATGTATGCATGTGATGTCAGCGATCAGCATCAGCAAAGGCATCACGCAGTGCAAGTTTTTACGAAAGTGAATTTAAGAATCCGATTGTGGTGTGGTGTGGTGTGGTGACCATTGGAGACAACTGAGGAATAAAATACTAGCATGTCACAGTATGCATTTAAACTCAAAGATTTGGGTGGAGAACAATTCAAAGGGATTATGGTCCTCGCTTCTCTTATAATCCGTGTTTTTTAGTTGGAATAGTATTTTTCTCTCACAACAAATCAGTCAGAACAGTATTTTGGCTTGTTTTTTCAGCGAATCAAACGATGCCTATAGCGACTAGCGGGGCATGCTATGCCGGAGGAGCTTGCGAATGCATCCCAGGAAAATTCAGAGACTGGTACGTGAGTCCAGTGAGTTTCCTCGTACGTTCTGTAGTTTGCGTGACACGCCACATGCCACGGATCATCATTCCACAAAGGAAAGTCCAGATGAAATGTGGTATGACATGAACATGCATGGCTATGTGGAGAAAATTGCTACTATAGCACATGAAACAATGGGCTTCACTATTATAGAACTTCAGTCGTCAACTTCGCTAAAACGACACTTAAAATGTTGACACTTTGTTTTAGATGACATTTGGTGTATTTCTTGACTTTGGTAATCAAAATACATGTATTTTGCTCTTTAATTGACTCTTTTACCCTTCTGGCATTACGTATCCTTTTGCATGAGCCCGACGTTTCATTTCATCTTCCGATGTTTCTTCTGGCCGCTGTCGCCCACCCAATCCTTGTCGACGCGCCGCCCATGGAGGAGACGAACTCGCCCCCACCGGATCCAGAAGGGCCACCGTCCGCCTCTGCCCTTACCACGCTGCCCTCAGGCGTGGCCGCGTTGGCCGGCCCTGGCCTGGACGCCTGTGCCCTAGCCGCGCCGCCCTCTGGTGTGGCCGCGACCGCCGCCTCTGGCCTGGACGGGCTGGCTGAGGGCATGGCCGCGCCGACAGTGGAGGGCATGGCCGCGCCCAGGCCCAGCCCTGGATGGGGGCAAACGGGGCAGCCGCTCCAGGCCCCCCAGACCAAGGGAACCCAGGTATGTACGATGTATATACGTATTGACATCCACCTTGAAAGCTAGTAGCTGCTGGTGCTAGAAAGTAGCAGCCGGTAATAACAATCTATATTTATTTATTATACTTTGTTTCATTTCCTTCTTTTGTCTGTTTATTAAATTTCAACACCACCATGTTATGCCAAAAATAGTCTTCCAGAAACGAGAAAAGAAGACAAAAAAGAGTAAGAAGAAATAAGCAAATGAATTAATGAGTCAGAGAGTATCCATTATAAATCTTTTAAGAGTCATACAAGCTAAGAAATCTATATGAAACAAAATTTTTTTGCCAAACCAGCTTAAGATAGAATAGCTCCTCAAGAGGAGATCCTTAAAACCCACTCTTATAGAAGTAAATGAATTAATGAGTCAGAGAGTATCCATTACAAATTT